GACAGATTATGATATTGAAATCCAACCTGTTACACGGATGAGACAGAGCTGATCATTAATATGATTAAATGTGTTTCTCACGCCGGCTGCTCTGTTCCTCACAAACGATCTCTGCGCTTTTATTTTGAAAGTTCCTGCTAGGAGCTGAAAATAAGTTGATTGTGACACTGTAGGTTACCGTGACGATGATAACCTGCCGTGGTCAACACGAGATATTCACCATCACGAATACTCGCGTGGCTGAGTGCGCTTGTTGTCATGGTGTTTCTAAATCAAAGCAGCCGGCGAGGCGCCGAGGCTCGCCGCCGAGGCTCGCCGCGCCGTCTAATGACTGTGTTTGCGATGTCCTCAGACCTGCGTTGGGTCCAGGTGAGCAGTTCAGAGGAGGCGTACAGAGTGATGAAGATCGGGAAGAGGAACCAGAGCTTCTCCTCCACCCGCCTGAACCAGCTGTCCAGCAGGAGGTCAGCAGCAGACGCCGCCGCCCTGTTTCCACCTGCGGTTGTTTACCCTCAGTAACGCCCACTCTGTGTTCTGCAGCCACAGCATCTTCTCCATCAGGATCCTGCGCGTGGACGACGTCGGCGTTCCCAGAGTCCTCGGCATCAGCGAGTAAGTCGGGCTCGCAGTTCTGCAATGAGTGTGCGGCGGAGGCGGGGCGTGCAGGTGACGCTTCTATATGTGTGTTCAGGCTCGCGCTGTGCGATCTGGCCGGGTCGGAGAGGTGCTCACGCACGCACAACACCGGCGAGAGGCTGAAGGAGGCGGGGAACATCAACAGCTCGCTGCTCACGCTTGGAAAGTGCATCCACGCCATGAGGCTCAACCAGAACGCCAAGTAAGAGTCACACTGAGGTTTGTGCACGTACCTGAGTGCGTGCATGTGGGCGTGGCTGAGTGTGTACCTGTGTCCTCGCTGCAGGTTTCAGCACCACATCCCCTTCAGGGAGTCCAAGCTCACACACTTCCTGCAGTTCTTCTTCTGTGGTGCCGGGCGGGTCTCCATGGTGGTCAACATCAACCAGAACTCGTCGTGCTTCGACGAGACGCTCAACGTGCTCAAGTTCTCGGCGCTGGCTCAGAAGGTCAGTGAGCGTGTCAGACTTCCTGTTTTCATCGTGAGACCTGCTGGAAACGTGTGGTTGAGGACTGTTGACACATTCCCACCTGGGCGCAGGTGGTGGTGCTGAACTCGAGGCCGACGGTCCCCGACGGTCCCGACTCCTCCCAGAGGTCGGCCATGGAGCTGTCGCTGATCATCGACGAGGCGGACTGCCGCAGAAACGTGGCAGGGAGGGGCAGAAAGAGCTCGCTGGTCGCCTGGGAGACGAGCCTGGAGGACGTGCTGGAGGACGAAGATGGCGAAGAGGGTGAGGAAGATGGGGAGGAGGAGAGCATGATGGAGGGAACGGTCCTGGAGGCAGGAGGCGAGAATGAGGAGGAGTGGGACGTGACGATGGAGGAGGAAGAGAAGGTAACAATGCCGCTTTCATTAACACGTCAACGACGGCGTGCACATCCTGATGTTTATAATGCCGCCAGGAGTCCTTGGGCTTCAGTCGGTAACGTCTCCCCTACAAGGGAGGAGGGGCTTAAAACCTGCGTGTTGTTTGCTGATGTGCGTGTTTCAGCAGGAGGGCAGGGAGGCGGCGCTGCGGCTCGTTCTCGAGGCTCAGGTCAGAGAAGAAGTCAGCGCCGAGTTCATGGAGCTCTTTAAAAAGATGGAGGAGGACTACAGGTGAGTGCAGGCCCGCCGTCATGTGACCGG